TACAATGCGTATTGGTAAAAATCTTAATACAAAAAGTTATGGAATAACTATACCATTGGGGTCAGATTTACGTGAAGCAATAAGTAGAGCTGTTTTAGAATTAAAAGAAAATGGATTTCTTTAGAAAATAAACTACTCAAATAAGCTGCGTACACCAAAATGTATGATTTTGACGAAAAAATATAGTAATTCTTTAATAGAATCTCACCTAGAAAGAACTTTTAATCTATCTCGTCTTATAGAAGTGTTTTGAAAAAGTTTAGTTCCAAGCGAAGCCCTGATTTATAATGTCGAATGTCCGTCTGCTACTAGATTGAAAGTCGTCGATCAAAGTCAGACACTACTAGAAGTTCGTAGTAGCGTCTAAAATCTTCTGGAACATTCCACAATATTTTCCAGACAAGTATAAAAGAGCACATGAGATGACCAGAAAGCATTTCGTTAACATAAATGATGAGTGATATTACAAGACGATCTTCTTCTATACATTATGAATGTTCTACTTCACCATCACGAGTACATGAAAATTCAAGTGCTTCAAATCCATATGAACGTACTACTCAGTCACTTCCTGTCAGAAGAGTATACGACCAGTATATAGGATTGAGCCTTGCGAGAGGCAAATCGAAAAAGACTCATTGTTTCAAGTTCTACAGCTTTCGATTGGTAATTTGTCGAGTTTTCAATATTATCCACTATGCTGAAAATAGATGTGTAAACTGATGAATCGATCGACGGCGACTGTAAAAACTAAATTGTTTTTCGTGGCGACGACGACTGGAAATTTCGAAACTGAATAATTCTTTTGATAAGAAGAAATGCCTGTTTATTTAAATATTTAATTACTAATAATTTCAAAAAACTAAATGAGATATTTGTATTTCGCACGTTATTCTAATGGAGATATTACAATTAAGTAATTTAGATAGGAATAATCAATTACTAATCACTATGATCCGAAGTAAACAGACCCATCGATCTTAAAGATGGTCAAACTTTGTTGATAAATATCAAGATGTTAAAAATTACTCTGTTTAGTTTTTAATAATAGAGACTAAAAGAAGATCTCTACAAAGCACTAAGTTTGAGTTATGTTAGAGATCTTATTTTTACTGTGCAGCTTTTGTTGTTTAGCAATTTAGAGAAAACAGAAAGGGAGTCTGCTAATTTATGGTTTTGGTTTGCTGAGTTTCTATCATTCGATAAACTGCTAGTAGAAGATTTATCATATTTTCTGTGCGTCATGTAAAACTGTAGACGCTAATCCGTATTCGATTGAGGATGAACTATCATCTATTTGTTGAAATTTTCATTTATAGAAAAAACTTTTGCAATAAATTCGTTTAGTATCTAATGTATCATTGGCCTTTTTATGCAAATGACATGAATGATAACATATAGATTATTATTTTAGAACGTTAGGTAGTTTTCTTAGAATAAACTAACTTTCATTGAAATTATGAAAACTCAGTACATGGAGTGATAGATTCAGATACATACAAAATTTGAACTACCAACATTAATAGAATTTCTTTGTACTTTTCTTATTTCTGATATAGAGTACCACTTATATGTATATATATATGTATAAAGAACCGAAAAGATTGATAGAATTTTTTTTGGCTCAAGCATAACCAAGTATAGGTAAAAGATTTTCGGTTTTGGCATTTAGGTATTGGTGGCGACGGCTGAAACTTCCATAAATTTTTCTTAGTAACAGTGGCGTACCGGCTGCATCTACTGTTAGTCAGCGAAGGCGGCTAAGAAATTCTTAAAATTTTTGTTGCTACGACGGCGGCGCTGGCTCAGTCGCACGGCTTACACCTCTAGCTGGAAACTTATTCCAGCAATATACTGTGGATGCCTAGCTCAACACTGAACAAAATCACCTCGCATTCCATCGACTAAATCAAAAGACTATTCGAAC